GCTGAGTGCTATATAAACCCACTCATTTGAAACTTAAAGTACAGATGTAATAAATAATTCTCTGGACTGTAAGAAACTTTTATTCTTAGAAATTGTCTTTGAAAATAACTTTTCAGAGTAAAACTTAATATTCTCTCTGGTATAATGTAAAAAGTTACAGGCACTATAGAAATCATTGTGGTAAACTGTGATGCACAATCTTGTCAATAAGTTAAAAATGGACCTATCATGTGACCCAGCAAATCTACTTCTGAGCATGCCCAAACGAATCAAAATGAAGACCTCACAGAAATACTTGAACTCTCATGTTGCTACATCAAATCTATGAGAGTCTTAGGATGGAACCAACTCAGATGTCCAGTTACAGGTGAGTGGATAAACACAAAGTGGTGTGCAATGTGACAGTCTCATTCAGCCTTTAAGAAGGACTTTCTTCCATATGTGGCAGAATGGGTAGATTTGTTGAGTGCCCGAATCAGTCATAGTGAATCGTTCTGTTCAACGTGTCCACTCAAGGTGTAATGTGTTGTGTATGTGTGCATATGTGCATGCATGCTAGTGTATGTATACCTATGTGTATGTGTGTGTGCATTGTGCACATGTTGTGTATATGTATGTGGAAGTGTGTGTGCATATGTGCATGTATGCTAGTGTATGTATACCCGTGTTATGTGTGTGTGCATTGTGCAAGTGTTGTGTATATGTATGTAGAAGTGTGTGTGTGTGTGTGTGTGTGTGTGTGTGTGTGCTGCTAGGCATTCACATATCAGGAAGAACGTAATGTTTCTGAAGCTCAGTTTGCAGTGGGAAAAATACTTAACAGCAGCAGCGATGCAGAAGGGATGAAACCATATAAACAGGGGACCCTCCATTTACTAGTTTATGTAGCATAAACTGTTGAACATTTTCAGATTATTCTTTGCAAACTTGAAGATTTACCATTTAAGTCACAGGTAATTAGAGATGTGGTAGATGATAATGGGGTTTAATATTATTATCAGCCCCAGGGGAACTTTCCTGAACAAAGGCCTCTTCTTGAGTGGATATGCCAAAGAACAATTCTTCATTTAACTTTTCCTCTGGACAGGTCTAGCCCTGAGTTAGAGATTGGAGGCTTTTTTTGGGGGTAGGGGAGAAGTTTCCCTATAGTATACTAGGTATTTTAGTGTATCTTATTTTATAAACTGCTAAATAAGTTATTTCTAGGTGAAAATAGTAATATGAAAATTAGCAGTGGGCCACAGAAATACCCTAAGTTGATTCCAAGATCAGAAGTTGATAATTAAAATCCTCTAGATTCTACAGCCCTTTTCAGGTTCTCACCAGAGTCTATCACCCAGAAAACATGGATTTGTGTTGGATGCCTCTGTCATTAAGCCCCTTCTTTCAATGACCTCTAAGCCTTCTTACCTACCCATGTTCATTGGTTTTTCCATTTTAGAGCCATTCACAGGCTTACTTCTGGATTTGCATGGCTCAGGAGAGACTCATTTGATGTCATCAGATTCCTATATAATTTTCTATGTGGGAACATTTGGGAGACATCAGTGTTCAGTCCATATGGTGGTAATATCCCCACTGTGATGCATTAAGTCAGCATCCTGCTTATTTACTGCTATCTACCATGATGCAGGCAGAAAAAAAAAATCATCAGTGATAAAGGAGGAGAAAAACAAAGAAACAAAGTCTTTTCCTCGGGGGCACTGATATCTTCTGATGATCCCATTTACAAGTAAGTGAGGGGTCAAATCATAGGAAGAACTTCAAATGGTAGAGTGATGTGATCGGCAAATTAGGGTGCTTTCCTGTGGTGTGAGGGGAATACGCTGAAGAACAGCACTGTCCGTGGGGTGAACAGCCATGTGGGATTGGCCTAAGGGAATCTCTGATGCAGAAGCAGCAGTGGTGTGGTTTCTAGACAGACACACAAGTAGGTTGTGAGCTCTGGAAGACAGAAACTTTGTTCCTGGCTAATAATCCCAGCATGTTCTCTTTGAGTTTCGCTTCTATATCTTATGCTCAGAATTCACTGTCATAACTGAACGGTAGGCCAGCCATGCTGAGCAGCAGACAACTTTGCAGTGGCCCCGGTCATCCCATCTCTTGGAGCCACTCGTATCTTCTGCCTACTCCAGGGTACCAAAGCTCGTAGATCACAGCATATGATAGAAGTCATGGCATCTCACCTTTGAGATCAAATTATAAAAATATCAAGGCTTCCCTTGTCTCTTTCTTCTACTCCCCTATCCACAGTTCTGAGAGAAGAGTAGCTTTATGTGCCCAAGACCCTAACCTCTCACCCATAGCCAGCTAGAATCACACTTGCCAAGTGCTCTAGAGAGCACAGAAGCAGATCCCAGACAGAGAGAACTCTGGGCAGCTGCAGTCCAGTCAACAGTTGGGCCCCCACATTCTGAGATGCCCTGAGCTAGTCAGAAACTGCTTTTTCAATTTTGACACCCAGTTGCTCTCATTACAGAAACAAAGGAGGAACATAGGAATGGACAGGTAAGTATCCATGAATGAAACGGAGCAAACAAAGACAGGTTTCCAGTCACATCTAACGTTCATTTGAGTGACTAGTCCCACAGTATTTGATCACCACTCAGAACACTCAGTTAAGCAGGTAATTATTTGTGTTGTAAGAAAAATGGGATTGTTGAATCTCAAGATTTTTACTTAGTATCATACGTTCTCTTCAGATGTCTGGTGTTCTCCGTCACCGCATCCAGTGCTGATCTGACTACTCCAATGAGTTTTTAGGCAAATGTTTGAAGCCTTCGTTCTCACCACTCTGATAAAGGAGAGCCACAGGGGCATTGCAAAGAGATAGACGGCTTATAGCTGTGTTTTAAACCAAAACACAGAGATTCTAGATTTTTGCACACATAAAGCCCATCACATTGCTACAGGAATGCATTATAATATCATAATATCACAGTTCTCATATACCTTGAATTTTCTACAGATTGCCAGGCATTTGTAGCTTTTAAGACAAAATAAGTCAAGGAAAATTTAAAGACCCACCAATGGCCTGCAGCTTGCTTGCAATTCTAAGAAAACCTAATCTCTTAATTCTTGAGCAGTTATTTTGAAACTAAAATGCCTTTTTCCTAAAACTACATTAGATTTATTTTATTAGAAAAGCAAACTAAAGGAATGTACAAAACTCTCATGTGTCTCTAGGATATAGATTCAGACGGCATTCAGATAGGCTATACATAGAAACAGTTTACTTTATTCTGCAGATGTCTTTATGTAGTTTTCATTCCATAGATATCAAAACTAATGCATCATGCATTCTTGCTCTATATTTTTCTTCTTAGATTCTTGTTAAGATAGCATAAAACAAACATTCTGAATTGCAAATACCTCTGAAAATGTTTTCTAAATATAAAAGTTATAGCTGTGATATACATAACAGCCTACCAAATATACCCAGTGTCCCTCTCTAAGAAACATTTACAAAGTCTTATATTTCCAAACAGTCCAGACAACATTCTTCAATCTAATTTAATTTTACTTACTACTGGGAGTATGCTGAAGGCCTACAGAACACACACATTAAATAAGAATACTGCTACTCAATGTCTACAAAGTCCACATTATCAATTCATGTTAGATTATAACTTATATATTACAACTTACATCAAAAACATCCTTATAAGGCATATCATATTTTGTATTTCATACTGAAGCCCTTATATGCTGCCTTTGCAGCTGCTCCTCTGTACACTTAGTGTTTCTCCTAGAACTGAATGTGTACAATCTGATAAGCAATCACTGTTCTTATGCCTTGGCTTATGTTCTACCTAGCTGTGGTTTTACTTTTAAGGAGACAAGCAAAAGCTGTCCAGATGAAACAGTAGCAATAGCTTTCTGTGCAGGAGACCAACACTTGAACACATACCCCCTCATTTCTACCTGTCTAGGATTTCAGTCCAGGAAAGGCATTACTTATACACAGGTTGCTGTGGGGTGGAGCACATGCCTCCCTTTGAAGCTTTCATCTTAACTGTCACACGGGGAGAATTATCATCCACATGGTTCTCCGGTTCTCCATGTGTTTGTCTAAGCAAATTCAAGGCACGGCTGGGACTCCTCATCAAACCCATGCCCTGCGTAGTCGTGATGAAGTGTTCATGCATTGCATCACACATTATTGCACTTAATTTATTGGTGTTTTTAGGCTTATTTGCCCAGAGAATAAATTTATAAAGGAAAAATTAAGTTTTTATACAGCAGAGGAATATGGCTAAAGTTTGTTGAAAGTTTGGAAATACACTGATATACTTGATGTCTTGCAGAACAGAAGTAAAGCAATAAATACTAACACAAGTGCGTGAAAAAATATTACACATAGATTTTGATCTTGAAAATAATTACTCCTATGCAACACAAACCATATAACTATACATGAATGAAGGAAAGTAGGGGAAAACAATGTTTTACAAAGCTGCATAAAATTAGCTTTTGCTTTAAAATGACCTGTATAATTATATAAATCATCTTTTAAAATAGACTGGTCAAAAAAAAAAACAGTTTGTAAGGAAATGGGAATATAACCCTTTCTTTTTCACTTGCTTAACCACTTTAGGATTTCTTGAAAAATTTTAGTCTTTTTTTTTTTTCCCCTTAAAAATCTCTGGCTTTGACGTGAGACTGTAAACTATCACAAACCAGAGTGTAACCTGCAGAGTGAGCACCCTAGACTGATGCTTGGGAAACCGCTGTTAGAATGACAGAGATGCTGATTTAGACTCTTGGCAAGGGTCTTCAGCCATGAGCAAGACCTCTGCCGGTGAGCAGGTTTGCAGAGCAGGAAGTCTACGATTTCATACAAATCCACAGTGTTTACTGTAGAATTTGACCTTTAGTGAGAGCGTGTGGAACAATTCTGTGAAAATGGCAAAGCTGCCAGAATAAACGTGAAAAGCCATTTTTTTTTCCTAGTAGCAAAACATCACAACAGAAACTGTGAAAAAGATGTGGTCACTTACTTTGGTAGAGTTTTCAAGTGATTTTCTCTTAGCTCCAAGATTCGCAATTTGACAAGTCTATAGAAAAGAGTTTTGAAAATTACCTTTTTAAAATCACTATTTCTATATAAAATAATTCGCATGGCAAGGTGAACAATTGTGGTCACTAATTAGACAGAAATTCTCAGCTGTTTTTAGAACTGTATCAGATACAGTTATTATTTTTAACGGGTATGGGTGTTTTGCTTGCATGTGTCTTTGTATACCAAGTGTGTTTGGCCAGTTTTAAAGAAATACGCAAATCCATAATGAGCAGGGTTGCATCACCACTGACCAATGACAAGACATTTTACTAAAACCAAAGGTATTTGATTATATCTTTGAATCCCAGCCTTCTAAGTTTCTAATGTTTCATAACAGCACATTATCTTTTATATTTAATCAATACGTGTGTTGAACAGGCTATTGACTGTCTTTGAAATTTCAGGTGTTATGTTCACTGGAATATAGAAATGCTTTTCATCAAGAGACTGTAGACAGACCTGGAAGGCAGGCAGAATATTCCAGAGGAAAGAGCAGTCAACTTGGTGTGAACTGAGATGAGGGCACATTCCTTCTCTACGACATTATTCAAGTTAGTCAGCTCCACTGCCCTCCTAACTGTAGCTTCCTCGCCAATAGCATTAAACCCTCCGCTTGAATACTTTAAATGATGTCATGCATATAATGCACAATTCCTCACGCCAGAAGTTCTGGTGTTTGGTCTTTCTGATCTCACTAAAGGACAGTGGAAACACTTTCGTGTGTCATTTTTATTGACTCCAAGATTCACATTTTTCCATTTCTGAAAGGATTTGTGCTTGGGCACCCAAGGATCTTCTATCTGTGAATGTTGAGCAGAAGATGCTGTTTTCATGTTTGTACCTCTTGGGTTACAACTGTGTTCCCAAAGGGCACCTCACACATTATGACGTGAGGTTCGCAGTAGGAACACATTGTTATACAGAACTAGATTGAATTTTATATTTGTTTCCCACAAAGCTCTGTAAAACAAATACTAAGTGGGTTTGCCGAAACTTTGATTTTTAAGGAAAAAAAACCTCACTATTTAAACAATTTCACCTGTCATCTCTCTTTAATATGCTTTTAGGTATTTATCCAAGCCTCTTTCCTTTTCCTCCTCTCAAGTTAACTTTAATTTAATTCAATTCTTTATGAAGTAACATGCTTCAGTGCACAAAAGCTCCACTAGTGAGAGTTCCTTAGAGATCTGAAAATCTCACATCCCAGTGACTGTGCTAATATGATGTTATAGACCTGTTCAGTCTTTTAAGGATACCAAGCTTCAAGTTGGAAGAGAATTTGAACATCCTTTTGTCAAACCACCTAGCTGAAGGCAGAAAAAAATGCTTAGGTAATGAATTATTATAAGTAAACATCATGTTATTAAACAAAGAATATTTTGATATATTATATAAAACTTAAATTCTAATTCAAAGTAGCTTTTGTATTGGTATTATGTATCCTCTGTGTCTAAACCTCATACTCATTTTAGAACTACTTAAAGAGAAAGGACAAAAACAAAAAATTCATGACAGAAAGTGTCTTAAGGAATCAAAAATATTTTGTGATTTTCTCATCTTAAAGCACATTGTCCTGTAGTTGATACCCAACGGATAAGTTTAGTTTATAAGGGCTGATGGAACTGGGGAATCAATTACAAATGCACGACCTAAAAAATTTCTTTCATGTGTATGGTTCAGGATGATGAGCTATCCTCATCCATAGAAGTGAAGGAGTCTGGGACATGTTACTTCATTTACAGTGGGCAAGAGAGATATCTGTGTGTTAGGTGACTTCATCACCCTACATAATGTCCTACTCATCCCTGTCAAGAGGCAGGTGCTGAATCACACCCAGTTAATCATTTGAACAGCTTCAAAATAATCAACCAAGGCTGACAATGATGTTAAAATGCCTTTGGTGTTTATGACATAAATGCTATCCAAGCAAATACTCTTGGAAGATTCTGAAATAAAATATGAATAAAAACCAAAGTCATCTAGAAGTTTATCTTTTTATTACATGTATTTATGTTGGGAAAACAGTTTATATATTTGCTCTGCCACTTTCCTAGCCTTATCCAAAGTTAGAAAGTGCTTTCCAGAACCACTAATTTCTGCACAGCTCTGTCACATCACATAGGAGCAACACCATAGAGTTCATCAAACTCCTATGTGATTTCATAGTTTTCATTTTTAAAATAATGAAAAATACACTTGTCTACAAAACCCAAAGATGACATGAGCCATTTCTAGTAACAATTTCAAAGGCAATGATCATAACTATTTTTGAAGTTCTTTAAGCATATTGTGCAAATTGTGTAAATCACTTGTTTACTCTGTATTGTGTCAAATATTTGGGGAGATGGACATTTCTCCTGTAATCACTACCTATTTCCATTTTATCAAAGCTGCCTGTGCAGCCACCCACATCCTCCCAAGAGTCCCGAGAGTCCTGGCTTCATGCTCATTTGTAAGGACTCTTTATACAATAAGGCTGTTACTTGTTTTTCTTAAATAATGAAAATGTTTTTCTGCTTTATTTTGCCTTTATCATTTATTCTATATGAAAAACATTTAGATGAGAAGCATAGTCTGTCTACATGTTTACAATGTTGCTCTTTGCTTCCTGCCCATAAAGCAATTTTGCAACCCAAGAGCCATGGTCAGTTTTCCTCCATTTGCTCATAGTATCTGGACTTCTTCTTTTTTTCGAGACAGGGTTTCCTTGTGTAGCTTTGGAGCTCATCCTGGAACTCTCTTTCTGTAGATCAGACTGTCCTCGAACTCACAGACATCTGCTTGCCTCTGCCTCCTGAGTGCTGGGATTAAAGGTGTGCCCATCACTGCTCGGCATGGACTTTCTTTTTTATATTTGACTTTAATTCACCTAAAAATTGTTTCTAATATGTGAATACATAATTTTATGCTAATTATTATAGAACATTTAATTAACACTTATTGTGTATCAATGAGACCCAACTTTAATCAGTGCTGTTACTCACATCCTGGTACTGGTGAAGCAGTTAGCAGAGGCAAAGCGAGATTACACAGGTTAAATCTCTTATGCTTACCTTCCAAAGTTGGCTGGAAGAAATTCAAGGAAGGCATCATTCAGGTAGAGCTGGGTCAGGTTAAGAAGCTGCGTGAAGCCATCGGGTAGTCTAAAAGGGAGTTAAAGAGTTAGTCACTGCATCAATGTTGCTATAGAAACAACAAAAATCTATTTTAGAGAAAGAGAAAGAAATGAAGTATGTCTTCAAACTCTCCTTTAGTGTGAGTAATGAAAGAATTTATTGAGCATACAGTTACAGCTGGAACTTTAAACAATTTTGCCTGTTATTAAAATAAATGATCCCTTCCTCCCTCCATGCTGCTCTCTGAGTTGGCAGCGATGCCACTGAGAGCTGGAATCTTACACTGTTGACTGCACCTTCTGCATCAGCCAAGATATTCTTATATCTCAAGCTCAGTGGTCATGTGACTTTGAGATGAACTGGCTGTTCCTAATAGAACAGTCACATCAAGTCAGGCAAGGACTTCTCAGTGGAAGTCTAACAATTTCAGTCAGTCATTAGCATTTCCCTACAGCTTATCACTGTGACGGTGAAGCCTGGCCCGTGTGAAAATGGGACTAAACTGACTCCCACTCCAAGGCCAGCTTTACCCGTGTGTATAGATGCAAAGTTGGTTTAAGTCCTGTTAATTAAAGATGACCAAGAACATTGGGAACATATTTGAACAGAATCATAATGGCTGTGAGTGACATTGAAAAGGGAGAGTAATCTTTAGTAGAATTTTAGAAATTAGATGAAATAATTACTTGGAACATGAAATCTTTACCCTTTTTATTTAATTGAAATATTCTCCAGGAGACTTTTTCTTAGAACAATATTGGATTTTTTTCCTATAAATGTATTTCTATTTTAACTCTTTAATATCCTTATCTATAGTCTTGTCTGGACTTCTATAACACATGTCTAAGTTGCCTTTCCCTCACTTTGTAACCTGCTTCCCTGTGGTGACTGCCAGCATCATGGGCACAGCAAGTGAACGACTCTGGTGTTTCTGGCCTACAGTCATCCAGACCTCACCGGCCATTCACTCTGCATCCCAGGCTGGCCACCCACTACTTTCGTCAACAGACCTTGCTTCTACTGCAGCCTCCTCACTCCACTTCTGGAACATAACATGTGGACTTTTCCTCATTCTTCCTCTCCGTCTACTCAAACGTTCCTAAGAAATGCTTTCTCCATGTAAAAGAGTAAGTGTTCAGCTGCAACAGAGTGGAGAGGCAGAGCTAGTACTGTGGATACCACCCATGCCTTTCCCTGAGCACACCTTCCAGTTTGTCTCTCTGCTCTGTAGTCTTGGCTGTCCTGAAACTCTCTCCGTAGACCAGGCTGTCCTTGAACTCATAGAGATCCACCTGCCTCTGCCTCCCAAGTTCTTCTGAGGCATGTGTCAATTTTTGGTCTGTCTTACAAATTCTTAAATGTTCATTATTTTATTTTTGAAGGCTTTTAATGTGTAACTATTTAACTTCCTAAAAAAAATAAACCCAAACCTGTTTATTGTGTTATCATGTTATATAAATCAAATCATATTGTTTATATTTTCCTTAGGCTTTTTAAAAAACAGCTTTACATATTTTTTTTCCAGTTTCATTCATTTGAATGGTAAATGTTGGTCTGTCTTGGAAACCCCTGCCATTATGCAGGCACAGCACTGCTTAGCATTTTCCTGAAGATGAAGAGTAGTTATTTCCAGATTTTACCTTAGTGGTCACAAATGTTTCTTTGGTGAAGTCATTTGAACACATAACCCAATGTTCCTTCACGAGAGGTTTGCATAAATGCTGTTCCCGAAAGTGACATTACTGAGTTGTAGGGAATGCAAGTTTAAATTTACTCAGGATGGCCAAATTTTATTCATAGCTCCGTCCTTTTATAACCCAATGCATCTGCATAAGAGCTTCCTTTTTTGTGTGTATGTCCTTTTTATTTCATGTGTGTGTGGGTGTTTTACTTGCATATGTATTTGTAGACCCTGTGAATACGGTGCCTGAAGAGACCAGAAGGGGGCGTCTGATCCCCTAAAATCAGAGTTAAAGACTGGGTTCCCATAATGGAATCCAGGTCCTCTGCAGGAACAGTCTATGCTCTTCAGGCAGAGCCGTCTCTCCGGTCCTTCTGTTCTTCTTGACCCTTGGTTTTACTATTATTTTTGTTGTTGTTGTTGTTTTGTTTTTTGGTATTACGTTTGCAAACTTGGTAATGTAAAATAGTTTACTTCTTATTAATACAATGATTATTTAAATGATTTATGATGGATTTTAATTTTCATCTTCTGTGGAAAATGTGTTTATTCATTTTGGTTGTTTTCCTACATCTCTACCCAGACTCGCACCCTGTGTTTTTTTTTTTTTTTTGTATATTGAGCCTGGCAATGTTCCCTGCAAGATGACGTGTTGAGCTAGGGCCTCAGTATAATCTGGGGCAGTTCTCATTTACTGTGGAGCAGGAATGAAACAACCTCCCCCCTCATCTGCTTCGTCTACAACTCTGGAGAATTTTATGCCCTTGAAGCATCCCCCTGAGACGGAGTCCAGCGGAGCTCTTGAATGGTTGACAATACATTTCCTGGGACTCTTGCCAGAATATTCTGCCTTCATTCATTCTAACAGCTGCTTTTTGTCAACCCAAACTAAACACAGAATTCCCTTCTTGGAAATAATTTTCTTTCATTATTTTTTATTAGCACACTGATTATGCAGATGGGGAGGCTTCACAGTGACATCCTCCATGTAAATGTTATCTACAGATTTGGTTGGCTCTGCTCCTGTGCTTTTCTCTGTCTCTTCTTGGTCTCTCACAGTTTCTCTTCCACTTCCAAGTCTTCTGGTTTTCTTTGTTTCTAAATTCATGCCTAAAGCTTTCCCCAAATAATTTTAACTTATTTTTTCATTACTTTTAAAAATTAAAAATCGTTATTATTTATTGTGGGGGACATGCATGCCACAGTGTGCATGGATATCAGAGAACAACTTTGTTTTTTCCTTCTGATTTTACATGGATTTGGGGGATTGGGTTCAAGATTCTAGATATGTGGATCAAATGCCTTACCCACTTCAGCCAGCTTTCTGCCTCCCCCACCCCGCCCCTTTTTGGGGAGAGCATCTGGCTGTACATCCCAGACTGGCCTTGAATTACTGTCTAGTTCAGACTGGTTTCAAGGCCAAATCAGTCTTCTTTCCTCAGTCTCAGTACTGGGGGTACTGACATGTTTACAGCAACTTTACATACAATAGTTTGGCATGGACTTGTAGTGATTCTTTACAAATTCTCAGGGCACTGTTTTTTGTTTTTTTTTTTTTTAATTGGTTATTTCATTCTGCAACTACCTTGCTCCAGCTTGCATTTAAAGTGATTTTGGTTTTGGATAAAGCTTCCAGGAGGGTATTTGCATAAATTTACTCTTTGGGAAAGAGGGATTCATGGAAACAGGAATGGGGGAGAGCAGATGATGGGGCCTTTATAGTGTAGAGATGAGTACAGACCCCAGACAGAGACCTAGTTCAAGGTCAGTTAATGGATCAGTGTCAGGAGTTGACACTGGAGAATAATCTGTAGGAGAATGAACTTAGAAGGTTTTGAATTATCACCCTACAGGTGTGGCCTTGGTCCTACAGAAAGCAACTTCACTGAATAGTTACTGTTCTTCATGTCTTCTTTTGTGTGCACTGGAGCCTGCATGCCTTCTACATGGTAGTTTCTGGCAATGTCAGAGAGGTTATACAGATTTCTAATGAGACTTAGCCATTGTCCTTCTTTCATATCACAAGAATTCGTTACAACTTTAGAAAAAGGAAGAGCCATAAACACATGTAAAAATGAAGGAAAGAAAAATCAGACCCTGCCAATTTATCTCAAGAGTCACTTCCAGATGAGAGTAAAGGAGCACTCCTGTACTACTTGAACTCGTGTGTGGTGAGACAGGAGGATTGTGAATTTAAATTTATCTTGAGCTATATAGCAAGGTTCTGTCTCAATAAACCAGGGGGAAAGTCACTACAAATTTTTAAAAAAGAATAAAACATGAACTTTCTAGTTATGGGATATTTGAAGTGTGGGCCTTCCTTAGTCTTCTCTTTGTAGGTGGCAATAAATGGAATCTTATGGTTCACTCTGATCAACAGCTTGCTTCCCTATTACTGCTTCTGTGGCAATGTTTATACAACTTGGAAACTAATAATGACAGAGAATTTTCATTAGGCTTAAAAATTGACCATGTGAACCTTATTTAAAATGAAAACTTGGATTAATAAACATAAATTGTATGAAAAAAACAGTATACAAAGTAATATTTTAAACCCAGTTATACTCATACATGCTGACATTTTACATGGGCCTTTCTACTTAAAAACACAGAGTTGGGCTGTTGGCATGGTGTGCTGAATTTATCAGGGCTGTATTTTATCTCAACTTACTTCAGTATAAATTCAATAACTAATCTCGCTACAAGAGATGAAAAATGAATGCCGTCTTCTTATTTCTCTCACGAAGTTCTCACTTATCTGGCAGGAAGCTTCTAGCAATTGCTTATAGTAGCACTGAGGAATTTTTTTTTATTGTTAGCAAGGATAAATCAATATTACTTCAGGATAAGAAGTCTTCTAAACTGTCTCATACTGTACTGTGAAAATATAGACGATAAGGTGTGCTAGGCATTATCTTCATGATATTTGTAGCCAGTAAATTTACTCGAGAAAACATTTGGCTTTTATTAACTTTACGTCACAACTGTAGTTTCTAATCCCACTGTAGAACTAATCCCACTGACGAATCCTTCTGTTTTCGTCAGAGAGCCTGAGAAACTGTGAGGGAGAAGAAATCCCTTAGAAAGTGATGAGATGGATATCATGGGTTCTCATTAGCATCCAAAGTAGTCATGGAAGCCAATAACATACACGGTAAAGATAATTTGATAGTAAAATGACTTTACACTCTTTAAATAATTTGATGGTTTTCCAGTTGATTGATTTGTTAAAATAAAAGTGTTAAAATTAAACAGTTCTCCTACATAAACATTTTTTAATTTATTGAATTAAAATGTATGTATTCTACCCACCATAAAGGACAGACAACAGTAGACACAGATACTC